CGCGCCTCCCGCCGCTCCCAGCGCGCTAACCGCCGCCACAGAGAATCCGCCGGCCCGCAGCCATCGGATGGCTTGTTTGTGAATTTTTAATGTGAGCGTTTATTTCTTGGAATTCATTCTTGGAAATTCTTTGAGGCCTGGTTAAAGGTATTGCCCCCATAAAAGGATTTATTTTGTTTTTACCAGGCATCTGTGAGCAGTTTCAACTCAAAAGATATTTTACAATAAAATAAATTTTTTACTTCAGGTTTGATGGACTACCTAAATGGGTAAATTTAGACTGCAAATCCATGGAATTCTCAGGAAAAAAAAGCTCCTTTTTTATGGCTTGAGACAGGAAAAATTTCTTTCAGTGTGAAAAGGAGAATTAATTTTTACTTCTAGTTAACTTTTACCCTGGGAGTATAATCTTTCAGTAGTCCCACTTTCACGAAGGAAGGAGTTTTACTAGGTTTTTCACTGTAGAAAGGCCCTGTCCTTTGTACCCCTTCTCCGTGATCCATTAAATCCTGAAAGAAAAATTCAGATCTGCCAAAGTTTAGCGTACATCTGTGGGGGCAAATCTGCTTCTAAACTCAACTTACCTTTTCTAGGTTAATGCTTTCACTTATTTAACTGTTTATTGGGTCTCAGACTGTTCCTTATGATCGTGTTAGCTCATTGAATTTAATAAAGATGTTCGCAAAGATTTTACCTAGCATTTAAAGATGTTTTCAATAAAGGTATTTCAGTAAGGCTACTTCCGGGTATTCGTCTGCCTGCTACTAGAAATGGAAATTCTAGATTGAGGTTAATTGGATTATGAAATTTTTGTCTTATGTATTTATATGTTTGTCATTTGTTTTTAAAATAATTTTAGAAGAGTTTTAGATTTAGATTTAGAGAGAGAGAGAGAGAGAGAGAGAAAGCAAGCCAAGCGTGGCATCAACAAATGTAATCCCAGCCCTCTGGAAGGCCGAGGCAGGAGAATTGCAAGTTCGAACCCACCCTGGGCACATTTAGTGACTCAGCGAGACTCTGTCTCAAAATTAAAATTTAAAAAAGGGTTGGGGATGTACTTCGTTACTTTCCTGTTGTTTTCTATTTGAGGTCAATTCTCATAGGCGTTTAGTACATGAGCGCTGTATTGAAAATATTTAAAAATGGGATGGCTTGCTTTTTGTGACTTCCTGACATGTTTCATGTTCTCCCCTGTCGCGAACCGGCGACGCTGAGCACTGTCCAGCAGTGCCTCAAACCTGAAAGAGCAGCGGGGTGGAGACGGGGCAGAGAGAAAGGAAAGACACCAAGCCAAGAGTCTAATCAAGGTGATGTTTATTACAGGCAGGCATCAGCTTTTTAAAGGAAAAGACCGAACTATTATGGGCTAGGATTACCATAGTAACCTCAACACCTGCTCCACGGGAACAAGGGTTCACACGGGCAAGAGAAAGCAGGCTCAAGAAAAACAAATTAACAACACTTGCAACTAATAATCATGATTCCCAAATAGGTGGAGGAACTTAACAAAATGGAGTTACAACACCTGACTCCTACAGATAACATCAGATCTTTAACAGGAAGCACCTGACTCCTACAGCTCTTTGGCTGTCCGAGTTTCTCCCGTGCAGGGTCAAAACAAGTTTAACACGTGCAGTCCTTAAAAAGGAACAAATGTCTTTCAAAATGCCAGTGGGCCATGGCTGGCTTCCCACACTCCCCTATCTGTGTTTTTGTTTGTTTGTTTTTTTTGAGCAAGCTTGCCTTGAACTCACTATGTAGCCCAGATTGGCCTCAAACTGGAGGCCATCCCTCTGCCTCAGCTTCCCGAGGGCTGGGACAACAGGAGTGCGTCACCACACCTGATTCCTTCCCCATTTTATGTGGCCTTTCTCTTTGACTCCAGTTTCCCCCAATTTTGTGTCTCCTTCCGGAGTGTTTCCTTTGTGTATGGCCATGTTCTAAACTGCGGTTTTCTTGGCCCATTTTATGAATCTTTAAGGCCAGATTGTTCTGGGCAGATTTTTCCATGATGGCCCTGCTCTCACCTTCTAATAGGATTAGGCCAAAATCACCCAATTTTTTTCCTGTTCTTGAATTGGCAGGGATTGATTTCTTGTTCGTTGTACTGGTGTTTCCCTGTTGGGGCTTTTCAGCTGACCTGTGGCCTCCTCTGCTTTCTCTCATCCAGAAGCTGAAATTGTGCAGAACTTTTTTTTTCTTTTTTAACCACGATCTCACTGTGTAGGTCAGAACTCACTATGTAGCCCAGGCTGGCCTGCAAATCTGTTTGATCCTCCTGCCTCGGCCTCCTGAGTGCTGGGATTGTATGTGTGTACCACCACACTCTGCTAAACTTCTGACCACTGATTTGCTCTCATTTGCTGGTATATGAGGCTCACAAGGTTTTATGAAATATGGTCCCTGGACTTTGGCTTTGTGACACACTTGGTCTCCCGGTGCTTATGGGCTAATATGGAGAGATCAAATCAGTGTGCTGTCATCACTGTGACCTATCAGCTATATATTACTTTTGGAAAAATATGCAAAAATTATATATTCTAGTTATTTAAAGGAACCCAGAGGTATGTAAAATAGTAATGGAATCCTCTTCTCTGCCCTATTCTTCAGAGATATTTACTGTTAGAGTTATGTATATAGCTTTCCAAGCATTTTTCTGTGTAGGATTTTTCTATCACTTTGCTCTGTGTATTTCATGGTGATTTTATATAAATGCAGTGCTAAGGTGGAATCAAGGGCCTCAGGTATGCTAAATAAGCTGCACTACTGAGCTATTCACCCATTTTAAACCTTTGTTTCCCTTAACAGTAAGTGGGGAATGTCTCCAAAGACTGATGAATTCTAATAGCTTGGCAGAGGGGAACAGATCATGGCAGACAGATGGTAGTAAAGTAACAGTGAATTTAACAGCATCTTTCTGCCCCTTTCATCTTGTTCAGACTACTTAGGGTGGGTAGCACTCACACCCTTAATCCTAATGCCCTTGGGCTTTGCATTACCTCTTTTTTTTTGTACCAGGGATTGAACTTGAGTCCTTGTGTTTTTGAGGCAGGCGGTGGAACCACTGAGCTAAATGCCCGGCTGCTTGGCATTACTTCTTGAATCAATTCCAGCATCACGCACTCTAGATCAAGCCACATCCTCAAAAGGATATGAGCACATGAGGCTTTGGGGGGACATCTATACACAAACCATAACAGTCACTAAGTGCATTGTCTTTGCAAAGGATACTAAGTGCTTCTAGTGACTTGAAAGTAAATATTTAGCTCACGTTCAGGCCCAGGACAAGCACTTAGTGTTTGTGTGCAAGCTTTGGGCTGCTCTTGCATTTCCCCAACTGGGAACGAGGCTTTTTTGTTTTTTGAAACAGGGTCTCACTATGTAGTTGAGACTGACCTGGAACTCACTACATAGCCCAGGCTGGTCTCAAACTCACTTCCCAAATTCTGGGATTATAGGCGTGAGCCACCACACCAGGTTTATTTTTTTTTTTTTAATTGTGTGAGGCAGAATCTTGCTATGTAGTTCAGCCTGGCCTTTAAATCACTATCCTCCTGCCTCAGCCTCCCAAGTACTGGGATTACACGCATGAGCCACTGAGCCCGACACCAGATTTGATCTTGGGCCAAAGAAGGAGGCTTCTGGCTCATTTCCACCACAGCCTGAATCACAATGAGCTGTTTGCTTTCCTTCTCCGGGAGCACAGGTCAGTTTTATTTGTGTAGAAAAGTGTTTGAAATGCACTTACATCCACTTCAAGCAGATACAGGAGATAGGCAGGGCAGGTGCTTCTGGCTCTGTTTGGTAAAGCCTGACCTTAGTCCCTTGTCCCTCCCCCTTGCATATTGTTTATGTGGCCCTGATGGCTTTGGAGTGTGTACCTGGGGACTGGGTTACTTGCAAGACCTTGATTTTCTCCAGGTGGGAACAGGAGGTGCTAAATTGAGGACTTCTGGGCTCTGCGTCCAGTGAACTAAATCAGAATCTTGCAGCCGGCCAATAACTGGCACTTCAGTGTGCTCGCCCTTTCATGTGTGCTCCTTGCTCTCAACATTTCAAAGGCGCCACAGAAAGGAATTCGAAGGATATCATTCAGCCAGACAGAGGGATGCGTGAAAGTGGAGATGGTTGGAGGGGTACAGTTGTTATCCACCAGCCTCGAATGGGGGAGCCAGGACACTTCCTGTGGTTGGCTTTCTTTCATTTTTTGCTGCGGGGAATCAAACTTGGATCCTTGTGTTCTTGAGGCAGGCTGCAGAGCCTTGTCTGCTTTCTTTCCAGGATTTAGAGGAAAGGCCAAACAGTTGTCTTTAGAGTGGGGCGTTAGGATGAGGGAAGGACACGTGCCTAAAGCTGCCAATCTCGCGGCCACAGGAGGGAAGTTGTAGAGGCGAAGGCAGCAAACAGCAAACTCCAGCTCTCGCCGACGCTACTCATGATGAAGTCCTATCACACTCCAGGGCCAGGCAGGGCGCTCATGATGCTCACGGCCTCACCAAGCCTTCTAACGGCCTTCAGAGGCAGGTTTGTGTGTGGAC